CTTGCAGAGGTTTGTATGCCCCCACTCCCACAATGCTTCTCGAATATTTCCTACAAAACCTGTTCTGAAATCTCTAAATGATGTGTGATCTCTTCCATCCCACTGATAAATATTCAAGAAGAGCCCACTAGTAATTTTACTAGTTCTAGTGATTTTCACTGTAGTATTTCCTGGTATCTTTCTCTCCTCTATCTTCTCTGCTCCTTAAAGAATTCCTTTTAATCTCTTATTGGGTCCTCTCTGGATTGATCCTCTGTGTATTTTATACCCTCATATTTTTATACATATTTTGAGAGATTTCCTCTAATTTATCTTACAATCCTCTGTTGACTATTTCATTTTTGAGGATTTCTTCCAGTTTTCTGGGTCTTCTGTTCTGTTGCACTGTGTTCAGACTTGTTTGACAGATGTAATATCATTTTACTTCTCTTTAGGGATAATTAATTTTGTAAAGTTTTTATTTGACTCCCTTGTATTCTCTGAATCATGTCTATTCTTTCTGGGGTTGATTTTTCTATCTTTGTCATACTGTAGGCATTCATCAAATGTTTCTTGATTTCTAATAGTCATGTTATTTTGTTGTTGTTGTTTTGGTTTGGTTTGGGGGCTACTGGAGATTGGATCCAGGGGCCCTCTACCACTGAACTACACCCTTTTTGTTATTTTTGAAGAATGATAAAAAAGTAGGGCAAGTAGGAGCCCCAAGCACGTGAGTAGAGCTTGCTGATTGGCGGGCTTCAATCCAGGCTGAGTAGTCAGAGATTGCTCTGGACATTTGCTGATTGGTTGGTTTTGTTTATATCTGTTGAACTCTCAATTTCCACAGATTCTTGGCACCAGAATAGGAGGGATGTGAAAAATGACCATTTTCTAGACAGATCTCTGTCATCAGTCTTCGGTTCATTCCAGTAATTTCCCTAACCTCTGCAAGGTTTTACCACATGGAGAGGCTCCCTTGTCTACTGCAGAACTCTGAAATGAGCTAAAATTCTTCCATTCAGAGTCCTTCCATGAACTTTGTCTTCCATAAATTTGCCAATTCACCCTCTTGTTCCCTAAACAGTGTTCAACATTACACCTTTTATGTTTCTTTATTATAATTTTAAGTCCTAGGAGGGTGAGAAAATAAATATGTGTGTTCAGGTCCCCATCTTCAACCAATAGCAAGGGTAGACATTGTTATTACCTTAGATTTAGAAAACAGGATCCTATGATTAAGTGACTTACCATCATTCAGCTAGGAAGGGAAGGGCTAGGATTAAATTTTTATCCTTTCAACTATGCCAAACTATTTCTTTTTATTCAAACCATTACTCAGCTGGTATGACCTAGAGAAATAAAATCTTATATAATACTCTAAGTTTAAATATGCTGCCTTTATGGATAAAAAGGACCCAGAAATTGCCCACACTACATATTATGGAATATTATTTTATGTAGTTACATATCTATCATGAGAAATTATCAAAATCATAAAGCTGCAGTTTTATACATTTAGTGGGTCAGGTTTGGGTGTAGAAAAATTAGTAGGAAGGGCTGGATTGTCATTACACAGCGGTGTCGAGGGCTTGGCACACTAAGTGCTCCCAGCTATAAACCCCACCTAGGCAGAAGCTCTGGTTGGGAAACTTGCCTCAAAGAGGTGGAGCAAAATGGTAGACACTGTTAGGAAGGCAGAACACCCTATCTATTGCAGGCCAGTCTGTCATATACCTTCCATACTTATTGCTAGGTTTGGATAAATGTCCCTTGAAGGCCCATGTGGTAAATGCTTGGTCCCCAACCTGTGGTGCTATTGGGAGATGGTGGAACCTTTAAGAAATGGAGCCTAGTGGAAGGAAGTTGGGGAGCCTTCAAGAGGATATTGGGCCCCAAACCACTTCCCCTCTTTCTTTTCCTTTCAGCCATAAGGTGAATGGTTTCTTTTTTTTTTTTTTTTAAGAGAG